TAGATAGATAGATAGATAGATAGATAGATAGATAGATAGATAGATAGTTTTTATAGTTTCAAATTCAGATACTTTGCATTATTTAGTCTCACAGAGCATGCAGGGGTCCATGTGACTGTCACTGATCTGAGAGCTGTGAGGGGTCTCCGGGTGTGAGAGCACCAAATGTTCTCTCAGGCTGAGGTTTGAAAACAATAGAGACAAAACAATAGGCTGCGCTCCATGTGATTTTACATGCTCAAAGGCATACGGGCAGCAAAACCTGGTTTTGGTGCCGTTTTAAAGGCATGCGGGCAATATGTGGAGAGAAAGGGCCAAAACGACGCGCGGTTACTTCTCATTTGGCCAAATAAAAGAGAATAACTTCCATTTTATGTACACAAAGAGCTTAAGTACTCACGTCAGATCAGAACATGTCGTTCTTCCTTTCTTCTTTTGAGGGGTCCTAAAGTTCCAGGAAACCTTCTGTGGTCGACTTGGTCGGTTTAAAACACCCAACATCAGCGCGCAACTCCAGAAAACCCCGACGCGAGGATGAAACAAAGCTCAACTCCTTCTCCTCTCCTCCACTCACTGCCTCCCGTCGTGTAGACAGGCGCGCCGTTTGTAGCCAACACCTCATAAATTATTTAAAAACCTTAATGGATGAGTGTAATGGGAGGAAAACGGGGGCGATTATTATTTTTTATTCCATGTTTACATCGTGCGCCCAATTATCTCCCTTCAATATGATGAGAATGTGCACTTCCTTTGTGCGCCCAGTCCTCCCCCCCACTCAGCGGGTTAAACCATTCACGCAGCCCGAGGGGTGTGGGGGTGGATGGGATGTATTTATATGAACGAATGGGTTTGGTGACTCGTGGCCAAATGTTATTGTCGGAGGGGAGTTTTGGGAGACAATGACAGAACTGCGCAAAGGAGGAAGTGAGAAGGTTAAAAAAAATTTAAAAAAAGAGATGAAACTGAAAACAAACGAGAAACAATGTAAAGAAAAAGAAAAAAAAATGTAAAGGAGGGAAAAACTAATTTACTTGAAACATTAACCGCTTTTTGTTGTCGTTTTGTTACATTTCGAAACCAGCTTTCACATATTTTTATTGTTTCCAGCATCTCCTCGTGCTCTTTTGTGCGCATATACGACATAATTAGACCCAACAAGAACCAGACTATTGTTAACAGAGGCTGTTCAGCACCTCGGACAGCTCCCAGTGACAAATCCACACGTGTCAGTGGCGAAATGTTCTTTGTGAAATGTTCCTCTAAAAACAAAACACAACGAGCCAGGTTGATTTTATATATATATATATTTACACACCAGACATGGGGTCATTTTAAGCTGAGAACCTCTTCTTTGTGAATTCACAATTACCCCCCTCACACAGCAGCCCAGTCTGTTTGTTCATCTGCAGAGACTCGGTCATTTCCGAGCCTCTGAGACATATAAGATAAATAAATAAATAAGTCCTAAATACGTTTAAAGAAGCAAAAGAGATCTCAAACCGTAAATATGCTGCATGATGTGGACACAGGAGGTGAGCTGATAGCGCCCCCTCCTGGACATTATTCATGAACTCTATTAAACTTCTTGTCAGTGTGGGGCAGGGGTCTGCAAACTTTAAGGAGCCATTTCTGTCTCTTTATTCACTAAATTAAAATGTCCGGAGCCACAAAACCTGCTCCACTCAACTGGTGGCCCGAAGAACACTTTAAGTTCATTGGAGGAGGCTTTTGAGGCCAGTAGAAGTGGCATAATAAAATAAAAATAAAAACCTGATCCTTAACATTAATTGACATTTTCACATTTTAAGACAAAAGAAAAGACTGGATTATTGTAATGAAAGCTTGATTTTTGTATATATATAGTTTTTAACTATTTTTAAAAAGAAGAAGTCAAACTATGCAGGTCTAGTGATTTTATTTATTTATTTATTATTATTGTGGAAAAATTAAGTATTCTACTTTAAAGATTAAAGATATAAAGCATGAAGTTACTAGTATTCACAAATTTGCAAACGAAATGACATGAAACTGTTAAAAATATATTAAAGTGTGAAGTAAAGTACCAAATAAAGTACCAAAAGTGAAAAGAAATATAATATTTACAAGGTCCAAAAGAAATATAGTAAACAGCATGGTGGAATGTTTCACAGATAGTAATATTACTTACATGCACATGATGTATAATGCACATAACATATACCACACTTTGAGTTTAACTTAACCAGGATAGTACCAAAGAAGTATCAGACATATACTTAAGTAGGCACATTATCAACTTGAACTACTGAGTATGCAGCTGGTACTCAGTGGGTACATAATTACCTTGTACTTAACCAGGATAGTACCAAAGACGTACCAGATACATACATAGTATTTTTGGGTATGTACCTGGAGGTGACTGGCACATGATACAAATTAGGCAAGTACCATGTATACTGGTATTAACTTGCACTTATCAGGTACTTGTTTTGTGCTTACAGAGTACTCCCTGTTAAGGGCCTACAGGATAGGAAGTGATAATTATTGGCTACTTAGCAGTACATATGTGTACTTACAGAGTACCTACTGGGCTGTAATTTGTCTCAGTTCAAAACATTCAGTTCTGACTTCTATTGATGTTTTTTTTGTTTTGTTTGTTTGTTTCTGTTGGTTCATGTTTGTATAAATTCAGTCATAAAATTTAAAGTTTTTTTCTCCATTACATCTGATTATGTTTTTTTTTTTTTTTTTTTTTTATCTGACTCGTTTTATCTGAGCTGCTGTCTGGGGGTAGCTTGCTTCAGACAACCGTTCTTTTCACGATGCTTCATGTTACATAAGTTAAAGCTGATGACTTTTAAAGCACACGCTAAACATCACTGCAGGAAACTGGAGCAACCCATAGAAACTATAGCACTGGAGCTCAGTGGTCACGTTCTTTAAGGCTGCGTTAAACACAATGTGTAGAGTCATTTGTTTATAATAATCATAAATATTTGTATGTCCTAACTTCATTTTGTGCCTGTCCCGTTTCATTTATTCGCACAGTTCAGTTTTTCCACGTGCGCATGTGCCTTTAAGATCATCTCTCAGCATCCTCCTCCTGTCAGGCACGCGCACACACGTACAGCAGCCCCAGAGAACAGGTTACAACCTAGCTTTCCGCACGCGCATCCTCACATAAACACACGACAGCATCAGACTTCAGCATCTCTCGCCGTCATTCTCTCCCGTGGACATTGATGCAGCTTCCTCAGAGGTCGCAGTAGCGATTAATCGATCCTTGTCCTCCCCTCCTGCATCCAAACACTCCATCTACGCTACAAGATGGCTGAGCTGAATTTGGGGAAGGGACTGACGGCTGGGAAAGTGGCCAGCAACGTTCAGAAGAAGATCACCAGAGCTCAGGAGAAGGTAAGATGCTGCTCTCTGTTCAGGAGGAGCAGGAGGTGGATTTGGTGTGAGGCCGCGGAGCTGCATGCGCTGCCGCATCCGCCGCTGACGCGCAGTGGCGCATCACGACATCATATGAAGAGCAGGGATGTTGTGTTTGGAGACGTCCACTCTGGACACATCCCGTTCTGAGACAACTGTCCTGCAGCGGACACGTCCTGCAACGAGATACAGCGAGGCCTACTCGGGACGGTCCTGCTGTTTTTAATCCCGTCCATCCTGTCTTCTTTCTGACTAAAGCTCCCTGCTCTCCATGCACCATTACTGTAATAAACAACTATGGCTGCTGCATTTAGTGGCAGATATGAGGTCTTTCAAGCACCAGCACGCTGCGTCAAATAAACGATAGGGGGCGCTGTTTTTAACTCAGGCCTAAACAGAATGAAAAAAGTGGTATCTCAGATATAGTAAAGCATATCTTTGTAAAGTGGTTTATAACATTATGTGTATTCTGCAGAGTCTATATTTACTGGCATATTTTATGTACTTAAAAAAAACAACATGTTTTCTGTTTTATTGCCCTCTTGTTTTACTGAAACTAAATGAAATCACTTGTCACCTCACATGCCAAAATTGTACACAAAATTTTGGCCTGATCAGTTAAAACTTAAAGTACGTGATACAGATGAGTCTCAATTACCAGCATAACAAATTTTAGCTCAGTATATCTGGACTTGACTGAGTTGTAGCCCTTTATGAGTTTGCTATAGTTGGCTAGTTGTGGCGGTCATCTTGAAGTGAGTTGTCTCCAAAAGGTAATCGTGTGTAGGTGTACATCCAGTGATAACTTTCCGAGAGTCTCATCAACACCTGGCCAGTAGTTCATGAGATATTTTGCTAACAGACATGGTTGACTTTAATAGATAATGCCAAAGTTTTAGAGGCTGAGTCAAACAACGTTGTTGGTTGCAATGGACTATGTATTTGTTAGCCAATAAAAAAACAAGAGCTAAAATAAAGGATTAGAACAATATGGTTCCTATCTGCATATCTACACCATTTACTTCTTTTGGCCGACAGGTTCTACAGAAACTTGGCAAAGCAGATGAGACCAAAGATGCTGCCTTTGAGGAGTGGGTTATCAACTTCAACAAACAATATGTGAGTCTACAGTCCAGTGGCATGATCGCTAATATTTCTAATTTGCCAAAACGTCATTTTGGGACTTGTCAAACTGCTGAATGTGTTTCATCCTCAGACTGAAGGCTCCAAACTCCAGAGGGATCTAAGAGCATACCTGGAGGCAGTTAAAGGTAGCACATGCTCATTTATTCACGCATGCATTCAAATTACCTGGCGTGGATCCACTTGGCTAATATGACTTTTATGCTGCGTTATTTTTTTTTTTGACTTTTTTAGCCATGCATGAGTCCTCCAAGAACGTGCAGGCATGTCTGGGTGACATGTATGACCAGGACTGGTATGGCAAGGACGATGTGGATTCAGTTTTGGAGGTCAGAAACTTTTTATAATCATATTTTGTTGACGCTCTTGAAGTTTGTCTTTGTGTGCGAGAAAGTCAAAAATAATTGGCTTTTCATATAGAGGTCACAACAACACTTGTTAATTCAAAGTGTGCAGCACAATAGCTGCTGTATAGATTTTGGCAAACAAAAGCTGCATGAGCCCGAGTACTAGTGTCGATGGGTCAAAGGTCACAGGGTGGAAAAGTAGTACTCCAACCAATGTTACATTTGACTGCAGGTTTAAAATGCTACCAGCCGGCATATTTACTTTTATTTATATATTGCCCAACTAATACACCAGTCACTTTACAACATTTTACTAGTTTAGGATTTTAGCATTTCAAAAGAGAGAACTTCAACAGTCTCCACTTTGAGCAAGCACTTGGTGACATTAGTTGGAAAAAAGGGACAGCAATGTTCTGACTTACCAAGACTTGAGTAGGATGCTTGTTTACTGTGACCACTTAATAAAAAAGAGTAGCATGAAAAATGAAACAAATCTCTGGAGCCTGATATCTGTAAAGTTAGTAATGCAGTTTATTAAAATGACCATTGCTGCAAGCCAACAAATTCCAAAACTATGGAGGAGAATGACAGTGCATCGTGGCAGCTTTGATTGAAGCAGCATATCTAAAGTTCAGAGTCATCCGAACCAGCACTTACTGTTAGCATTATCAAAAAGAAGCATTTATGTCCTGAAGCTATAGAGAAACTCTTCTTCTTAAATTTCTGGAAGATGATTCCATATGAAAATATCATCTGTCTCTCAGTCTATGTTTTTTTAAAACTCATGTAGGACAGCAGTCTGAAAAGGAAGTTCTCCTCTGAGATGCAATAGTTCTGTCAAGGCTTTAAAATAAAGTTCATTAACCACATTTGCTCAAAGGTGAGCTTTTTTTTTAACAGATACCAGGAGTCACCCATTGATTTTCTATTTCCATTTGCTGCTGGTAATTATATCATGTCTGTTTTCTTATTCATTTTTAAAAGTGCTTTACAATTTTCCATCCATCCATTATCTTTACCTGCTTCTTCTATTTTGGGTCACGGGGGTCGCCGGTGCCCATGTCCAGCAATCACTGTGCAAGGGGCGGGGTACTCATTCATTCATTCAACCTTTATTTAGACAGATAAGTCACATTGAGCCTAGAAGACTCATTTACAAGTGAGATCTGTTTAGACAGACAAAAAGTAATGAAACTGGACACGTAGGAATTAGAGGCGAAAAAATTCCTATCAGACTTTTTCTTCTTGCCTGAGAAGAAAACCTCTAATATTAAAATAACACCTCGCACAAACAAGCACATAGTGACGTAGACATTCTGCAGAGGGGGGAGACGACGAGAGCGGTGAGCAATGTTCATAGATTCTCTCGGGGACACTGGAAGAGTTCTGATAAGGATGGAATAATCAGCCAGTGTCCTCCGGTGAGATCAAAACACTGCAGCTAGAGTTCTCACAAGATCCCATAAATATCAGCATATCACTCCAGTTCTGTCCTCATTGCATTAGCTCCCTGTGGTTTTTAGAATTGATTTTAACATTTTATTGTTTGTTTTTACATCCCTGAATGGTCTTGCGCCATCATATCTATCTGAGCTTCTTACCCCCTACATCCCCTCTTGCAATCTCAGCTCCTTAAATCTGTTCTTACTTTCCACTCCCAGAAGTCGACTGGTGACAGAAGGAGGGAGGGCTTTTATGGTCAGGGCTCCTAATTTGTGGAATGCTCTTCCTTTAAATATTAGACAGGCCTCTTCATTGTCTTCTTTTAAATCATTAATTAAAACTTACTTGTTTAATAAGGCTTTTAATATTTGAATTTCTTTCTTTTTTATGTTGTTATTTTAATTGATTTGGTATATTTTTTGTGTTTCTGATGTCATTTATGATGTTTTAATTGATTATGTGAAGCACTTTGTAACATTTGTTTGAAAGGTGCTATACAAATAAATTAATATTGTTATTATTATTATTATTATTATTATTATCAGTAAACATTCTCGAGGGATGTCAGGGAATGGCCAAGAATAACGACGAGAATCCAAGAGTCCTGAAATGATGACAAGTTTATTCAGCTGGTTTCATCTAGTTATCAGTTGGAAATTCCTCTGGGAGGTGGTGGTGAGCATCAGATCACATGTTCTCAAGGCAAATTCAGATAAGATGGCCTTCAAGGCCAGACAAGGGAGCCAAATTCAGATAAACACACAGTTGTTTTGGGGACAGGCAGAACTTAATGACATCTACCTTGAGTCCATGTTGCTCCACTAGGTTCCGAAATGTCCAAATTACATGGCCACACCGATGAAACGTGCCTGAGTAAAATCCTTGAGATCTGATCCATTTTGCCCAAAGCATTTGAGTCTGGGTACTCAAGGCACGAACCAAGCCATCTTAAAGGCAAGCAGCGTGATCGGGTCCAAATTTGCTGCCAATGACTTCCTTGATTGTTGATAAAACCAGCAACCAGCCAAATCCAAAAAGCAGGAACCAGTTACCGTAAATCCAATTATACAGTATATGTGTCCTTAAAATCCACAAATGGCAGCAGAGATAGACACATCATCAAGTCTTCCAAGTCGATGAGATATCCAGCTGCGTGCATGCCAACAGGGCAAATCGGCTCGCCTAAAGCCGGTCTTCTCTTTGAAGAAATGTTATCAATTGTGTTGAGGGACCATCTGATCAAAACAAGTCCATAATGGACTTGTTTTGGGGAGTGGTGGCGCAGAGGTTAGAGAGGTGGGCTTGTGATCCGAAGATCGCCGGTTCACGCCCCGGCCCCGACAACATCAAAATTGTGGGTGGGGTAGGTGAAACACTCATACTTGCCCCCACCCTCATTCGCCCCACTCTGGGCTCATGAGCAAGGCCCTTAACCCCCACCATGTGCTCCCTAAACAGGTCTCTCTTGAAAATGAGTTCTCGTGGCTCAATGAGACTAACCTGGATAAATAAAGGCTAAATGAAAAAAATGAAAAAAAAATAATTATGGTTCGGAAGATATGCAAGCGAGGCTCAGAAGCAGTTTCACAGACAGACAGAGCAGCAAAGCAAAGTGGAGAGGGAGGGGAGGGGAGAAGCATCCAATCTCAGCAAGAGCAAGTGGACACCCTGGACAGGTCACAAGTCCATCACAGTTAATATTTTCCACCTTTTCATTTTTGATCGACAAATTTGTTTTCAGACTTTGCACGTGAATCAGTATACAAAATGCTATGCTAAGTGAGAAAATGCAGGAGAAAAGCCACAAAACGATGACGAGTTTTGAGGCTAACAAAGTAATGCCTGAATCCAGAAGCAGAGGAGTGTTGAAACATGGTGGTAGTTTTACTTTCATTTGAGACTGAGTGAATTACGTACCAAATATAGAAGGAACATTTCCACAAGGAGCACAATTCCTGTTGCAAAACAACCCCAGTGAGCTATTTTTTTTTTGTGTGTGTGTGTGTGTGTGTGGGGGGGGGGGGGGGGGGGTAAACATTTCTAAAAGGTAGTTGTAACAGATGAACAGGCTAAAATCAGGCTCCGTTTGGTATAATAGTGAGCGCTTTGCAGACATCCAACCCTAATCATAGTCTTTGCAGTTCATAAAGATCGGCAACTGAAAATAAAACTATTGTCACCAATAACAGAAGAAGGGGGAGCAGTTGCACAGAAGGTGAGCTTTTAATGGAAAGGTTGCTGGTTTGACTCCCCAGACTGACAACATCAAAATGTGGAGGGGAAAGGTGAAGCACCGACACCTGCCTCCATCTTCGTTTGCCCCACTTTGGGCCCTTGAGCAAGGCCCTAACCCCTTCCATCTCCTCCCTGGGTGCCCTAGATGGCAGCTCTCTGCTCCAAACAGAGGGATGTGGTAGCTCGGTGGTCTGTGGTTATGTCACGAAGGACATCCGTCATAAAAATAATCGCCAGGTCTTCATGTGAGCTTGTTTGCTGTGGTGACCCCTGAGGAAGGGAGCAACTGAAAAACAGGACTAAGAAAAATAATAATATGTGATTATGTGTTCGTCTGTGCTGCAGGACTGTGATGTGCTTTGGACAGATTATCACCAGAAGTTGGTTGATCACGCTTTAATCTCCATGGATACTTACCTGGGCCAGTTTCCTGATATCAAGGTAAGCTGCACAGTCATGACCTCAGTCAAGGATTAGTCGCATTAGGTGTTGACACCCATTGTGTTTTTGTTGTAGGTTTAACCGTAACACACCGTGCAAATTTTGTTTTTCAGGCTCGAATTGCTAAGAGGGACAGGAAGCTGGTAGATTACGACAGTGCCAGACATAATTATGCTGCTACGCACAAGACCAAGAAAAAAGACGGGGGTATTAAAATAACAAAGGTAAAGCAAATAAGAACAACTGATGTGAGTTTACATGTACAGATGGAAATTAAAGAGGCGTTGACGTGGAGATTTGCTCCCTCCTTTCCAGCCTTCCACCTTGTTGGAACGGGCCACTCCAGGTTGGGCTCAGGGTATCTTGTCAGCGCACAACCTTGCCCAGAGCAGTCTTTCTAAGAACCAGGTACCTCCTACACAGGGCACCGACTATATCGCTTTATATTATTGTATACTTTAATAATGTCCTGGTAGTCCAGCAGCATTTATTTTGGTTTTGATTGGTTTTCTTCATGGCATGCTGTTTTGAATGCAAAATGAAAATGTAATCAATAAAATGCACATGCAAATTGAGCATGCATCAGGATGTAATCAATAAAAGCAACTCTGAGTTACTGTTGCAACATAAATTACAACGAAAATAAGTATATTGACAAGAATCAGTGGGCAAAACCTTTGTGAAAATGAAAGTGTAGAGAAAGAAGCATATATATATTTTTATACTTTTGTTTTTCCAGAGTTTACCAATATTAAATTAGAGGTTTGTATTTGTCAAATGCAGTGAGAGCAAATACCACGGTTAAAATATTTGTGTACAACGTGGACTGACACATGCAACCAGCCGTTCAATACAGAACATCAATATTCAGTACACAATGTCTAACGCTCCTTCTTAGTAAAATGTACACGTATCAGTCCTTAACAAGACCTTCAGTTTTTCCTCCATTTCATTTTCCTGGCTGGAGTCTTTTTTTTTAGAATGTGTAACTTCAAGTAAACAATATGTTTCTTAATCCATCATGTCTTGATAAAACTCCTAGTACTGCATTCCTGATATTCCTGTTGTGTTTTTGCCAAAGATCTCTGTCAGAGATCCTGTACTACTTTCCAGCACTAATGAGGGAAAACTAAATTGCTTCTGCTTCATGTCCCAAACAACTGTTGGCATCGTTCCACATCATGACACCTCAGTACAGTTCAGATATCTGCTGCCCGACTTTAAACACAAACAAAAAAATGATTGAGCATATTTCCACAGTGCTAATTTCCCTTCATTGGCTCTCTGCTTATTTGATTGATTTGAAAGTTTTATTGTTGCCCTATAAGGCTTCAGTCTGTCTGATCTCCAGCAGCCCCATGTGTCCTCCAGATCCCTTAAATCTAATGATTATGAGCTTGTAGTTGTCCTGAAGTGCAGGTTGATCCACAGAGGTGACCAGGTCTTTAGTTGTCCAGATGTCCAGCCTGGTCCACAGAGATAATTGATCAGGATGAGAGCTAACCAAGAAGTTGAAAATATCCAGATTGCCGAAATGATGTTCAGTGTAAGGGGCACAGGTTGTGGAAGCTTTATTAGTGGAAAAAAAAAAAACGTGCACAACGAGAAAATTGAGTACCTATGGAGGGATGTTTGGACAGGCGCGACTCACATTTATTGTGATGTACTACACAGTTTGGAAGAAGATGGATTTCTGAACATCTCAGATAATCTTCATCTATTATGTGCCCAGTCCACCTTCCTCCCAAGGCTCAAGCCTGATGTGGCCAAGTTTTCTGCTGGCTGGAATGACCAACCCATCAGGACAGAGTGTAACCTTTCCCCAAACAAGCTGTGGGAACTTGAGATGGGTTAACACCACGTCAGAAAGCCAGAGATGTCTGAGTAAAAAGTGGCAGGAATCCAAATTGAGGACATTGATTGGGAGAGCTCAGGACCATCCCATCATGCCAACACAGGTTTTACTGTGCCAGAAATGGAATGCCCACTGAATGCCGAATATATTGAATCTCTAAGTCATGCCGTTAATCCCCTCGTACCTTTATCCAGTTTTGAAAGACATTTATTTAGCCATACTCTCACACGCTCTGCACCTACATCACCATTATTGACAGTCATCGCTTGACTCAGAGGTTCACATGCGGCTCTTTGGTCCCTCTGCAGCGGCTCTTTCAAGCTTTAACCAAAACTAACGCAAAACTGAATTTTATTGTTTGTTATACAAACAAAATTTTACTCTTTTCAATTTTGTGGGTCATTTACAAATATGCCATTACTAGAACTAATACAAGAAGTAATATACTCATTTTAACTTCACGCTTTATATTGTAGCTGTTTTTGTTTCGTTTTTATATAATTTCTCCTATTTAATTTTCATTTTATATGCTTTTTATACAATTGTCTCTTGTTGTCTGTACCTCATCTGTGTTCTTTGTTTCAATCAGGTCTCTCTTGTAAATGAGTCCTTGAGGCTCAACGAGACTAATATGTATAAATAAAGGATGAATGAATTGGATCTTCTCAGTCGTAGCTTCTAAAGTATAGAACGAGAGGTCCCTTCTCGTCAGACCGGCTTTAACTCTTGTGTTTTTAAGTCTCAACTTAAAGCATTTTTACTCTATTTTTATTACATCACGAGAGTTGACATTTTTAGCACTATTTTAATTATATTGATATTTTTTACTTTTTTTTTCTATGTCTTATATCTTAAATTGTTTTATTAGTTTGTGTCTGGGTCCATCAGTTTGGTATTTTCTTTTTATGGTTTGTTGTTTTGTGTGCAGCACTTTGACCACCGACACTTGTTTTAAATGAGAACTTCATACCTACTTATTGTCTGTGTGTGTGTGTGTGTGTGTGTGTGTGTGTGTGTGTGTGTGTGTGT